CTTTTACATTAAATGTGTTCCTCTCTTTAAGCATGAAAAAGATGAACAAGGAGCTTATAAACCACCACTCCCCTACTGATCCTACCAAAGCGTTGGGCTTCCCGGTAGCTTTGCCTCCTCACTCTGTGTTTCTACAGGGGAAATTGTGCATGTCCAGTGGAGAAAAGTTAGGGCAGCTGTGCCTGTCACATGGATGACATTCTTGATGGACATATGGGGCACAATTACTAGCATTTTACCAAAATCAACTACATGCTGGTTGCCTAGAATAGTGTCCTCATTTTTAGGATAAAAATAATTAAGTCCTGAGGAGTCAGGACAGGCGAGTCTCCTCTCAGAATCTCTGTGGTGCAGAGGGCGGTGCGGCCTTTCTGTAGCCCCTCCAGCTATAACCCGCCAGCTCACAAGGACGTGGTCTGGGGTGCAAGGCTGCCCACACCAGCTGGACGCCAAACAGGCCTTCATGGGAAGAGTGACTCAGGACGGGCACCTAGGAGATGTTACTGGGTGCAGGGACCACGATCAGTCAGCAGCTGAACGGGCTGGCAGTAATTGCTGACACAGGTCGTGGCGTTACAAGGTGACACAAAGTTGTTTGTTCGGCCAGGAACCGTGGCTGCCCGTTGCTGCAGAAGCACATGCTCGCTAGAGTTCCTGGTGCAACATCCATTATGGTGGCCCCAAACTGGCAGTGATGAAATCCTTCCTCGATCCTCCCTGTCTGAGCCATTGTCCCCTGGGCTCTTCTGCTACAGCAGTGTGGACGTGTACAGGTCTCTCTGCCACGTGAACCTGTCTGCTCCTGAGCTATCCTGTCTCTGGAGGAACAATGCCAGTGGCTCTGGCATCTTTGGGGAGTTCTCTCCCTTTCGTCCCTCAGTCATCTCTGGGGTCTCTCGCATGTTCCCCCAATCCTGTCCTACTTGTGGTGCCAAAGCCTCCCCCAGTCTGGACAGAGTCTGACCAGTGCTAACCAAGCTATTCAGTGTCCTTGTTTGTTAATTACGTAGGACAGCAGACTCCTGCCTTCTTTTTCCATTTGCCTGTGACAGGGCAAAAATTTGTAAAAATCTAATTATAAAATTGATGGTTGTTTGAGAGGCTACATATTGTATGATTCCATTTACACAAAATGTCCAGAGTAGGTAAATCCATAGAGACAGAAAGCAGGTCCATGGTTGACTGGAGGAGGCAGGATGGGGCCGGGGGTGGGGCAGGGCGGGGGCGGTGACTGTTAATGGGAACAAGGTTTATTTTGGAGGGTGATGAAACGCTCTGGAATTTCACGGTGGTGATGGTTGCACAACCTTGACTATATACTAAAAACCACTAAATTTTACACTTTAAAATGGTGAATTTTATGGTGTGTGAATTATATCTCACACACCATTAAAAAAAATCGATGCTTATTCACTGGAGAAACATTTTAAAATGAAATAAAAGAAGAAATTTTAATTTCCTATAATTCCAGATAACTAATAGTAACATTTTGGGGGGTGTGTGTGGCAGTTTTTGTTGTTGTTTGTTCGTTTTATTTGGTGTGTGTGTTGAGGGGGTTGTTCTTAGTCCTTTTTATGGCCAGGAGAAACCCTCCTGGGAACTGCTGAAAACATGGGGGCCCTGTGCTCACTTGTCCCCCTCCCCCGAGTCCACATACTTCCTGTCACAGTCTGCCTACCGGTTTTAGGAGGCTGCAGCATCTCGAGTGAGCACAATTGTTCTGAGCCTAATTTTATATAGTGTAGAAGATGACATTTTTAAATTTCAAAATATAAATGGTGTCCGTATTTCTCAGTTAGCAAGCAATAACAGAGCCTACTTCTGTTGACACTTAAAAGTGTTGATTCTAAGGATCTCGGCAGTTGGACTTCCTGAACCTGTTAGCCGTATCTGACTTCAGAGGAAGTGGAACTCCCACGTGTGGAAACGCCTCTGCTTCTGGATCGGAAGCGGAGCGGGAGGAGCTCAGAATCTTTTCGGCGCGCGGTGGAAGTGGGCTAGTGGAGCTGATCTTTCTTCAGGGTGTATAGTTATTTGACTGCTTCACGCCATTTGTCAATTTCTGAGCAGTTAATGACTTTTATGTCCGTTTTCAATGTGCGTACATAGTGCAAGCGTGTTCGATGTCACGCGGCCTCTCTCCATTCAGACGGTGCCGAGTGACGGTGGCGTAACATGCCGATTCGAAGTGTCCAGTCCAAACTGAGGCCTTTAGCAAAAATCCATTGGCTGTCTGCGTAGCTTACGCTGGCCTGTGTCCTGTCAGTTGGTGCTTCTGTCAAGGTTTTAGGAAGGGACCACTGGCCCTCCCCCGGGTGCAGCTCCCACTGCCCCCCAGCGGTGTGTGTGGCTTGTGGGGAGATTCAGAGAATGGACGCGACTCCTGAGCGGTCTGTCACGGTCCCCTCATGAAAGACGGCACGAAGGAGCACGGCATGCGAGGGCATGTTAGGACCAGAAGAGAAAAGCCACAGTGTCCGCTCGTGTCCTTTCCATTTGTGAGACAGGGACCTGGCTGCTGCCAGTGGGTCCAGGGGCAGGGAGAGGGGTGAGTTGCTTAAGAAAGTTTCCAATTCTGAATTTATTACCTGATTACCAGGGGCCCTCAATCTGGAGGGCAGCACACTGAATCTGGTTACGGAAGTGTTTTATTTTGCCAGCTAGTGCTTTAATTTCTTTCTCTGTCTCTCGCTTTCTCCTTTTCCCTCTCCCTCCCTCCCTGGTTGAAGCCCAAGGCTTCATTCACTTGTTTCCTTCACCTATTGATGCTGCAAAGCATTTGTATTTGCTGTTCTTGAGATACGTTTAAGAATTGCTCTTACTGTTATATCAAACCTGATACTATGAAAGCCTTCTCGAAGCTGCTGTAATGTCTTATCCCTCTGTATTTTCCATAAACAGTGGGCAGTATTTTTTTTTCATAATGATTTATATTTACTTAGTTTGTTTTGGCCTTTGACTCTCTGGGTGATCATTTATTTATTGAATTTTTTTGTGTTCCCAACATACTCATTGCAAAATTAATATTTTCAGGACCTACTGTTTGTATCACAAATGCTATCACAAAAATAAGGTACATTAGTACTGTAGTTTGAAAGTTCCCACATAAGGAATATTAAACAAAGCGGTGGGTTTATTCATCATGCTTGGTCTTTCCAACTGGACCCTTAGCAGCTCATGGCAAAGAGCACTTTGTCATAATAATATCTTTTTTTTTTTTTTATTCCAGGGTATTGTGAGGGTACAAACATTATGATTACACTTTATGTCTTTGCCTCACCCACGTGTGGGTTAAAGGCATGCCCTCCCCCCACCCCCCCGCTACAGTGCTCCCCGTGTCCTTTAGTTGCGGATTTACCCCCCCATCCCCTTAATCCCTAGAGAGTATTACTGCCATGTGATCACCCTAGTGTTGATCAGTTAGTACCAATTTGATGGCGAGTACAAGTGGAGCCCATTCTTCCGCTCTTGTGGTCCCTCACTTTGGATAATGGGTTTAAGTTTAATCCAGGAAAGTATAAGAGGTTCTAGATCACTGTCGTTACTTACGATTGAGTAATATTCCATTGTAAACATATACCAAATTTTACTAATCCACTCATGGATTGACGGGCACTTGGGTTGTTTCCACATCCTTGCAATAGTGAATTGTGCTGCCATAAACATTCGGGTGCAGATGTCTTTATCGTAGAATGTTTTGTGCTCTTTTGGGTAGATGCCTAATAGTGCTATTGCTGGATTGAATGGTATTTCTATTTTTAGCTCTCTGAGGTATCTTCAAATTCTTTTCCACAGAGGTTGCACTAATTTGCAGTCCCACCAGCAGTGTAAGAGTGCTCCTGTCTCTCCGCATCCTTGCCAGCATTTGATGTTTTGGGATCTTTTGATAGAGGCCAGCCTCACTGGGGTTAGGTGATATCTCATTGTGGTTTTGATTTGCATTTCTCTAATGATTAGAGATGTTGAGCATTTTTTATATGTTTGCTGGCCATTATTCTGTCTTCTTTTGAAAAGTTTCTGTTCATTTCCTTTGCCCATTTGTTGATGGGGTTGTTTGATTTTTTCTTGTTGATTTTTTTTGAGTTCTAGATAGATTCTGGTTATCAGCCCTTTATCAGATGTGTAGAGAGCAAATATTTTTTCCCATTCTGTGGGCTGTCTATTCACTCTAATGATAGTTGCCCTGGCAGTGCAGAAGCTTTTTAATTTGATTAGATCCCACTTACTTATTTTTGTTGCTGCGGCAATTGCTTTGGGGTTCTTCTTCAAGAATTCCTTGCCTAGGCCGATGTCTGAAAGGGTCTTCCCAACATCTTCATTTAGAATTCTTGGCAGGGGAGGAAGGGGCCTTAGGTTTATGTCTGTTATCCATCTTGAATTGATTTTTGTGAGAGATGAGAGGTGGGGGTCCAGTTTCAGTCTTCTGCATGTAGCTATCCAGTTTTCCCAGCACCATTTATTGAAAAGAGATTCTTTTCCCCAGTGTATGTTTTTGTCAGCTTTGTCAAAGATTAGATTACCATATGCGGATGGTTTCATCTCTGGATTCTCAATCCTGTTCCAGAGGTCAATGTCTCTGTTCTTGTGCCAGTACCAAGCTGTTTTAGTTACTATAGCCTGGTAGCACAGCTTAAAGTCTGGTAGACTGATACCTCCCAGTTTGTTCTTTTTACTTAAGATTGCTTTGGCTATATGAGGTCTTTTCTGGTTCCATACAAAGCGTAGAATTATTTTTTCCAGATCTGTAAAGAATCATAATGGGATTTTGATAGGGATTGCATTAATTCTGTAGATCACTTTAGGTAGTATGGACATTTTAACGATATTGATTCTACCAATCCATGAGCAAGGTAGGTTTTTCCATCTGTTTACATCTTCTACAATTTCTTTTTTTAAACAGTGGACAGTTTTGCCAGAATATCATTCTTTGCATAAAAAGCAAATTAAAGGCTCCTGAAGTGCAAACCTGTTTAATGTGTGTCCTGTTTTTTTTTCCCCAGGTGAAGTAGAGATTCCAGATCTGAATGACCCTTTGGGACAACTTGATGGACAGGACAGCCCGATTCCAACTCTGAAAGGTAAGCTGGGACACAGGTGCTCTCAGTGTTTTCAGAATGTCACGTGGAGGGCTTCCTGTTGAGCTGTCCTTTCTACGCAGGGTTGGGCCTGCCTGAGTTAATGGGGCGGGGGTGGGTGGGCTGGGGCGTCGCCCAGCCCCGTGCTGCCCCCTCGTGGTGGGCGTGCGGGACTGCCGCCTTGATTTCTATGTTTCCTGACTCCAGACGGCTGGCTGGGCTGCAGGTAGGGGGGGCGGGTGGTCAGAGGGCAGCATGGCAGGGGAAGAAGGGGCTGTGGGGTGCTCAGGGGGCCCAAGGGGAGCCTTAGGAGCTGGACTGTTCTTGGTCACTAAGCAGCCTGCTGGCAAGCGACTGCCTTCTAGGTTTATGGTTCTGAATGTGACTCTCCAGAGGCGTCTCGGTGGGCAGGTGGCCCTCGTCCTCATTGCCACCCCTGGGGGCGGTTCTCTCTGCCTTGTCACTTCAGCCTTTCCCTGAGGTTTGCTGTCAGCGCCATGCTCACTTGGCACACTTGGTGGGCATCCTAGATTTGTAGCGTGCATAGAACAAATTTCCCTCAGCTACAGACCCATTATTTGAGGCAGTGATGCCTTTTCTAATTCATGCACTGCCACCTTATATTCATAGATTATCTCAGCTCGGCTGCCAAAACAAAATACCACAGAGGAGGTGGCTGAAACAACAAACATTTCTTTTTTCACTTCTGGAGGCTGGAAGTCTGAGATCCAGGTGCCAGCAGGGTTGGGTCCTGGTGAGGGCTCCCTTCCCGGCTTGCGGGCAGCCACCTTCCCACTGTGTCCCCACGTGATGAGGAGAGAGAATTCTGGTTTCTTCTTTTATGAGGACATTAATCCCATCATGAGGCCTCACCCTCATGACCTCTTCTAGTCCTAATCACCTTCCAAAGGCCCCACCTGCAAATAGCATCACACTGGGGGTTAGGGCTTCAGTATATGGATTTGGGGGGAACACACTCAGTCCATAACAATCAGCTGTCAGACGGACACTGGATTTCTGTTCCATCTTTAGAACAGCTCTGAGAGCCACAATAGTTTCCAACCAAGCCTGCCGCCACCACCCCATCCCAGCACGCTGAGGAGCCCCTAGGTGTTGCTGCCTGGTGTTTGGAGCATTCTTTGAGAGGACTTTGCCTTTCACAGGATGTTAAATATAGTAAACGCATGTGACTGTCCTACAGCCCTTGTGCAGTGACCCTGGTCCTCCTGGCAGACTCCAGCTGTGTGTGAGGGGGGTATTTTACCAGGAGAGGGATGCCCTGCCTGGCCCCGTGGGAGTCCGCTGTCCTCCAGGTGAGACTCAGCTGGTGTTCATCCCACCCGAAGGCAAAAAGGCCTGCGCTCTGTGAGCTTTTTCAGTGCTCTGAGCCTTGGAACTCCTTTTCCTTGGGAGGAAAGACAGGTTTGTTTGTTTGTTTGTTTGTGTTTTGTTTTGAGACAGTCTTGCTCTGTCACCCTGGCTGGAGTGCAGTGGTGTCAGCCTAGCTCACAACAACCTCAAATTCCTGGGCTCAAGCGATCTTCCTGCCTCAGCCTCCTGAGTAGCTGGGACTACAGGCGGGTGCCACAACACCTGGCTCATTTTTCTGTTTTTTGTAGAGATGGGGACTCACTCTTGCTCTTGCTCAGGCTGGTCTCAAACTCCTGACCTCAAGTGATCCTCCTGCCTTGGCCTCCCAGAGTGCTAGGAATACAGGCGTGAGCCACTGCACCCAGCCAGAAAGATAGTTTTTGACAGTTAGATTCTCCTTTCTCCAAAGCCTGCCTTAACCCCCAGTGCAGATGGTCCACAGACACTTACTGATCACCCCGTCGCCAGCTCTGCATGCAATCCTGGGACACGGTGGTGGGTGGAGAGTGTGCTCCCTGCCTCTCCGGTTGTGGGGTTGGGAGAGTCAGCATCCTGAAGGAACTGTCACGGCATTGCAACATTTTGAGGTGTGGTGAGTAGCGCAAAGGAAGAGAGCGGGTTTCAGCGGCCGGCTAGCAGAGAAGGGGGCGTGTTGAAGCGGGGCAGATGGCCCTGCCGCTATCTGAAGAGTGAGGCGGGGTGCAGGGATGGGAGGGAAGCATGTGCAGACCCTGGGACCCGCCCCTAGAGGCGCTGTAGCGGGGCGGCCTGGCCGTGGGGGCAGCAGAGTCAGAGTCTGAGTCAGCGTCTCAGTACAGCAGCCACACCTGACTCTGGAAATTTAAGTCAATTTAGAATAAACACAATGAAGGACTCAGCTCCTCAGTGGTACTAGCTTCATTTCAGTGTGGGGAGAGGCTCCCCGAATAGACAGTATAGGTCTAGAAGGTTCCAGCTCCACAGGAAGCTCAGGCGGGCGGCCCTGGGCTACATCATGCACAGCTCTATGGGTCCCAGGAAAAATGCGTATTTTATTGTAAGTCGTTGGGGGCGTCTGGCTGGGGAGGTGGTGCCGTGTGACTCCCCCTGTGAGAGGCTGGCTGGGCAGCTGTGGAGGAGGATTCTGGGAGAGGGGGGAGCCAGATGGGGAGAAGCAGACAGACCACAGCAATGGTGCAGCACCCGACCCGCAGTCATTCCGTAGACTAATACTTCCTTGGAAAAATGTGTTGTAACCCTGTGTTTCAGATGTGCTGCAAACCTCTCCCCCCAGGCCGGGGTGGGGGCTGGCGGGGGCTCTGCAGAGGCTCCTGCAGCAGGGACCACAGGCAGCTGGGGGACAGGGTGGGAGATGTTCTTCACATGGAGCCTCATAGAAAGCACCCAGAAACAGCTGCAGGATTCACGATGCACTTAGGAAAATGCATTTGCTTATGGACGTAAAGAAATGACCATCTACTAAAATTTAACAGAAATTTTTATTTCCAGCCAGCCACAAGTTCCCAACATTTATAAGTCAAAGTCAGTGCGTTAAGGTGGGATTCTTTTACTTCCACTTTTGGTATTCGAGCAACTTCTCAAGCTTAGTATAGGATGCTTTCTAACATGTGTTTTGTTTATCTGGGATTTGATTGCCTCCTGACTTTTTTGTTTTTGTTAACCCACAAGTGATTGGGTTACAAACCATGTGTGTTCCGTATGTTTCCAATGCCAAAAGAAGTTGTAATCAGAGTTTGGAAGTTTGCCTTGGGTCTCTCCAAGGCATAAAAACTCTAGGTAACCGGTCAAGTGGCTGTGTGTGTGTGTGTGTGTGTGTGTGTGTGTGTGTGTGCATGCGCGTGCGCGCAGGCACATGTGCACAACTACAAAAGGGAAGTGCAGAAAGGAAGCAAAGAGCCACAGAACGCGGGGGCATATGGTGTGGCGTAGCGCAGCGGTTCCGCACTCGGCTTGCAAGCAGACAGGGCTGGCTGGGTGGTGGCTCCGCCTGCCCCCGGGGCCTGGGCCTTGGGTGTGGTACTGCTCTGCCCAGTCTCCAGATGGGAGCACCCCCAGCTGTAGGAGGGATGAAAGGGCTTGCTTAGCTCACTGCAGGCACCCAGAAGCAGTAGCTGATGCTGTTGCCATCTGTTAACAACACAGTCATGACTTGGTGGATCCATCAGCACCCTAGGGGGATGGGATCCATAGTAAACCCCCCACCCCCGCCCCCAAGGAGTCTCAGGGTGGCCTTAGGCCCCATCTTTCCCTTGCCACCTAATTCTCTGGTTCTGTAGTGTGACTGTGCTCTCCTTGAGTTATGGCTCATGCACAAAGGGGCCTTACTCCACCCTTCCTCTCTACTCCCATCAGTGAGCGAAGGAGTTGGCCTGGCAGTGCCATTCATCATTCCTGCACTTTTGTGCTCAAAGAGCTCCTGAAAGTGTCTCTGCCTGGTCACATTTGGCTTAAATTCGATATACAAAGTAATACTAGCTGACTGTACTATATCGGCTATTTCTTCAGTCCAGCCGCCATTGATGATGCACACGCGTCTGCAGACGCACTGGCAGGGGACCCTGCCGAGGGCCAGTCCTTCAGTGGTGTGGCAGCTTCACTTTGGCCTCGGCGAAACAGGTTCTGAGAATCAGCTGCAAGGTGTCTTTGGTTAGATGCACTGTGCCAGAATTTAGCACGTGGCTTATATTTGGTAGTTGGTATTGAGAGAGAGACAGAGACAGAGAGATCCAAGAGCAAAAAGCCCACGTGTGGAAGAGAAAATGAACACTATGGATGTCGTGATTTTCAGATGAAAAGTTTTCCTCCGATTTTCACACACCAAAGCACTGTCAGTTAGGAGTAAAGGCAACTTTTCGACTTGGTTATAGCAGCAAGTTACCGTGCGCATGGATGTTTGTGTTCCTTGTTACATTAGACACGCAGTATGCATACATACTTACACACACACGTACATATATTTAATAATTGCTGCTGTCGTATTACTTATGAAAGCCTACATCTGACCTAGAAACCATTGCTTTTGTCCGAAGCCTGTGTTTTAAATGCATGTGTAATACAGCTTGTGCTTTGTAAAAGCAGTACTTTGGGATGCTTGTGGGAAGTGGATAATTTCTGAAAGCCAGGGTGGGGTGGGATGGGCTTGCCTGGCTGCTGGCCTCCTGTGTTCTGGCTCGGCCGGAGCAGACCTGGTGAGCCGTGTGTGTCTCATCTTAGGAGAAGAGCTGCCCGTCGTCCAGGCTGCCGCCAGAGTGAAATTCCTCCCTCTGCCCACGGGGGAAATGTGGCAGTTGTAGGCGCTCTCACGTGGGCTCTAAATAGCAGGGTGGCGAAACCAGGGCCTGCTTTACTAGGCTGTCCCCTGCTGTTTGTGCCATGCCTGGCTGCGGTGCTGAACCAGCATTTCCTTGGAAAGAGAAAACGGAGCCGTCAGCAGAGTTCACGGTGCTGACATGGAGACCATGCCTGTTGCTCTCTGTTTACAAAGCGTCGGTTTCCCAACTCACATAGGTCTTAGGGGTTGATTAGCAAATATGCTGCGTGTGTTTCTGGTTTATTCTGGAACTCTTGGTGTGAGTGTGTGTGAGTGCATGTGTGTGTGCTGGTTTCTTAGGTTTAACATAGAGTCAGGGTCT